TCGTATTTTTTGTAGAGACAGGGTTTCACCATGTTGCCCAGGCTGGTCTCAAACTTCTAGGCTTAAGTAAGCGATCGGTCTGCCTCGGCCTCCCAAAGTGCTGGGATTACAGGTGTAAGCCACTGCATCTGGCCTATATTTTTTTTTTTTTTTTTTTTGAGGGTTTCGCTCTTGTTACCCAGGCTGGAGTGCAATGGCGCAATCTCGCTCACCGCAACCTCCGCCTCCTGGGTTCAGGCAATTCTCCTGCCTCAGCCTCCTGAGTAGCNGCCTCCTGGGTTCAGGCAATTCTCCTGCCTCAGCCTCCTGAGTAGCTGGGACTACAGACACGCGCCACCATGCCCAGCTAATTTTTTGTATTTTTAGTAGAGACGGGGTTTCACCATATTGACCAGGATGGTCTCGATCTCTTGACCTCGTGATCCACCCACCTCGGCCTCCCAAAGTGCTGGGATTACAGGCTTGAGCCACTGCGCCCGGCCTGGCCTATATTTTTTTAAATCAAAATTAATCGACATATATTGGAGTGTCATCTGCAAGGGCCCATACCGGGTGCTGAAGGAGACAGGTGAATTTCTTAAACATAGGAGACAATCAGTATTTTAAATAAAACAGACTGTTTATGGGCGTCCATAATTGTTTTTGTCGCAGTCTTGGTGGTGGTGGTGGTGGAAAGGCAAGGGGGCCTTGCAAGATGCAATGGAAGTTGCATTCCTGTTACTCAACCTACTCTGCTTTGAAAACTCCCTATTCAGTCAACAAATACTGTTAAAGTGCCCGCTATGTGCCAGATACTCTCTTAGGTACTAGGGATATGGAAGTGACTAAAACACACAGTTTCCTCCCTTCATGAAGTTACAGTCTAGATGAGAAACAAACGAGTAATAACATGTGGTATGTTAAATAGTGATAAATGGGCAGGGTGTGATGGTTCATACGTGTCATCTCAGCACTTTGGGAGACATGCAGATCACTTGAGCCCAGGAATTCAAGACCAACTTGGCCAACACGGTGAAACCCCATCTCTACTTAAAAATTTAAAAAAATAACTAGGCGTGGTGGTGCACGCCTGTGGTACCAGCTACTCAGGAGGCTGAAGTGGGAGGATCGCTTGAGCCCAGATGGTGGAGGTTGCATTGAGCCGAGATCGAGCCACTGCACTCCAGCCTGGGTGACAGAGCCAGAGCCTGTCTCAAAAACAGAAAGAAAAAAATAGTGCTATAACTGCCAGGAGAAAAATAAACTAGGGAAGAGGAGTAGGAATCGTGCATGCCTTCATGCTTGTATCTAGGGTTTGGGGATGGTCTGCAATCTCATTCATGTGCCAGGGGAGAGCCTCAGCGAGAAGGTGACCTTCGAGTCAAGACCTACAGAATGTGAGGGAGTGAGCCATGTAGATATCTAGTGTAAGAGTCATCCAAGCAGAGGAAATGGCAAATGCAGAGGCCTGAGGTGGGATGTGGGACATGTTCAAGAACAGTGAGGAGGAGCCTGGTGTGAGTGAGGGAGAGTAGCAGGAAATGAGGTTCCAGAGTTCAGACGGGATGAGGGACAGAATGCGTAGAATTCTGAAGGCCAAGGAAAGGATTTTGGCTTTTTCCCTGCACAAGACAGGAAGCTGTCTGGGGAGTTTTAGTCAAACAAGCGACCTGATCTAACTGTGGCAACTGGGTAGAGAATACTGTTGGGAGTAGGGGCAAGGGTGAAAACGGAAGATGAAAGAACAGTTTGAACTGGGGTAATAGCAGTGAAGCGAAGACGGTGAGAAAGGCTCAGATCCTGGGTTAAGAATTCAATATTAGGACCAAGGTAACAGGAGAGGAAAGAAAACCTCTATTGTTGATCGATTGATCAATTGATTGAGACAGAGACACTCTGTCACCCAGGCTGGAGTGCAGTGGCTTGATCTCGGCTCACTGCAACCTCTGCCTCCTGGGTTCAAGCGATTCTTCTGTCTCAGCTTCCCGAGTAGCTATGACTACAAGCACGTGCCACCACACCTGGCTAATTTTTTGTATTTTTAATAGAGACAGGGTTTCTCCATGTTAGCCAGGATGGTCTTGAACTCCTGATCCTGTGATCCACCCACCTCAGCTTCCCAAAGTGCTGGGGTTACAGGTGTGGGCCACCATGCCTGGCCCAAACTTATCTGAATTTATAACAGCAAAATGTAATTTTCCTCCTTAAAAAAAAAATCACAACAAAATAACCCTATTAAAATGGGTAAAAAAGGTCAGTGTCACTAGACACTTAATTTTTCAGTAATGTGTTTATTTTCAGTTAAATTTACCAGTTAACAGAAGCCAATATAGGCCAGTTTTCATATTCCTTAGTGTTATCTCACTGGTGCACTCATTGTTTTACCATTTTCCCTTCTAAGTTCATTTTTCTCCTAGCATTTACTACTATCCAACATGTATTTTGCTCATTTGTCTGTCTGTGTTCCCCATCAGAATATAACTTCACGAGGGGAGGGATTTTCTATTACACTTACTGAAAAGTAAACCCCTCAAGTAGAAACACTACAAGCAAGTACAGGTTGTTTTTACAGTAAGTCTCCTTAATGGCTAGTAAACTATCTCAGCCAGTACCTGAATGACTATCCTGACTTTTTTTTTTTTTTTTTTTTTTTT